GTCCTGGAACGTGGGCATTTTTTGTTTTAGATAAAAAAACATGTCCGTTTACGCCACGTTCACTCTGCTGTGCGAAAACGGAAGGGAAGACGACAAACTAGTCAAGGAATGTAGACGCTACCCAGAAGAATACGTGAGACCGCTGCTCGGAAACGACACTTTTTATGTCGAACACGATAGAAAGTTGTTCCACGGACACATGTACTACACGCCGCCTCCCAGTGCCGAACGGAGGGCCGCGTCGGCCATACGGGGCAACGTGGACCACTTGCTGCACGTCTTGGCCAAGCACGTGGATGCCGCGGACGTTTTGCGCTACGCTTATAATGCCGCCGCGAACGTGTTGGATCACTGTAGATTCGAACAGAGGAGAGAAGAAGAGGAGCAATTGACGGAGTGTAAGAACCTTTTGGAGGCTCGACTGGCAGCGATGGGAGACGAAAGAGGTCGAGACAACAAGTATCTCAAGACTATATTTCACCTGTGAGCCGTAAAGTAATACACGCCTAGTCCGGCAGCCACGCCGACGGCCGTCGAGCTCAACGTAATCGCGGTCATTGCGCCGGACTCCTCGGGCCGAGAAGTAGACAGAGTGTCGCTACGAGTGAAGCTTTTCTCCATAAAGTCGATGCCGTGAGCCTCGGAAAGTTTGGCGAGAGACGTCTCGTAGGTGGTCAACGATCGTAACGCGAGACTTAGCGTGTTGTCGTAGTCGCCAACCTGTTCCTGTTCGAAGACGTCGCACAAGATTAAATAGTTTCGAAGGGTCGTCGCCTGCGTGGAAATTTTTTCGCCGTGTTCGTGAAGAAACTCGTCGGTCGGTAGGCGTTCGTTGGCGAAGGTCGTCATGATTTCAGCCATGGGCCAGAGGTTCCCGTGGCGAAACCAGGTGATTATGCAGACCTTTTCGAGTATCTCGCGGGCGGCCGTCTTGAAGGTTTCGTACACTTCGATAAAGAATCTGAAGACGATCGAGGTCAGTTGAATTTCGAGTCTATTAAAGTTTCTATTTACGTCGTACTTGTAACGGTTTATGTCGTCAGACGGCTCCGTTGCGGTGGCGGGCGGTCGGAAATCGTAAAATTCCTCCAAGATGTCTTTCCTCACAATCTTGGCGTTCGAGCGCAAGTGCGTCTCGAACCTTGTGATTCCCGGTAGAGTCAGGGCGTATTCGGCCGCCAACCACACGGAAAGTAGGGCCCCGTTGAGCCCCTTTTTGCGAAATACTATCTCTTCCCAACACATGTCGTAGTCCAAATCTTTAACGTGGACTCGCCAGTACGGAAAGACGGCGGCGTTGACTTTGCTCCAATTGTTCTTGACGTAAGAATAAAACGAAACTAAATCCATTCTCTATTGTTTTGTACTCGTAACGAGGTGCACGCTCACGCCCGCAAAGAGACCCGTTGCGGCCGACGGAATCACGAGTTTTAATAAGGGGTCGATTTTACGGGTGGAGTCGTCGGTCGTAACGGGTCTGTCAGTGGGCGGTGGCAGCTCCTCATCGGTCGTCGTCGCGAATTTACTACTTCGAAAGTGTTTGGGTAGAAACGTGATCTGCCGCTCCATGGCCATCTCGGCGAGGTCCACCCTGTAATTTGACAGCGTGTCCGAATTGTATATGGACCCGCGTTCCTCTTCCGTGGCTTCCACGTCCAACTTTTCGGTTAAAATTTTATAGTTTGACGTACTCAGATGCGAATGCAGCTCTTCGCCGTACATTAGCATGAGTTGGTCGGTGGACAGGTCGCGACCGGCGCACGCCGCCAACACTTCGGTGAGGAACCAGAGCGCGTCGTTGTGTTCGCTGTACCAGACGCGCACGCACAGGTCTTCCAGTTTGGCCAACTCGATCGTCTTTAGACGGTTCTCGTACACGTCGACAAATTTTCGGACCGTGCTGGACGTGATCGGCGCTGCATTCGTAACTCTAAATCTATCCGCAAAGTACTGGTCGACTTGCCGTTCGTAGCGCCATTTGTTCTTGCCATCGTTTTCTTTGGTCAGTGCGGTGTCGTCGTCGTAAAACGAGTCAAAGATTTCGGGATCCCTTCGACTGTAGGACGGCCATACCGTCTCCACAAACTTGGTTCGTCCCGGCAAAGTCAGGGCATACTCGGCGACGATCCACATGCGAACTTTGGAATTTAGCATATAGAAAAGTTGTCTACTCAGACCTATGAATTCGTACATCTGTATATTCTTGACGTGTTGGTGCCAAAATCGAAAAGTGCGAAGGGCAACTTTGGTCCAATTTTCCTTTACGTAATCGTAAAACCGTTCGTAGTCTTTCAACGCGTCTCTAGACATTTTTGTATTGATCAACGCGTGATCAAATACGTCCCGACTCCAAGTACCAATCCGATCGCTGTCGAAGGAACGAGGATCGCTACTAGACTACCGACTGAAGGTAGCGGCGTGGCCGATCGGATTCGATTGTTCATCTCTATCAAATCTTGGCGGTAGCTCGCCTCGTCGTTGGTAGACGGTTGCTGTTGCGAATCAAAGGCCTTTTGCAAGAGCCGGACTTGCTCGGGGCCGGCATGAGAATGCAGTTTCTCTCCGTGCAACGATATGAGCGTCCCGACCGGAATCTTTTGTTTCGCAAATAAGCTCAACGTCTCGGCCGCAACCCACACGCCGTCCTTGTCCAGGGCCCACGCTCGCAAACAAAATCCTTTAAGCTCGAGCGGATCTTGGATTGTGGACAGCGTCTCGTACAGGTTGACGAGCTTGCGGAACGAGGACGAGGTGGGCGTCATTTTCAACTTTGCAAAGTTTCGCTTTATGTGGTCGGCGTACGTCTCGTGCGCGTGGCGACCGGCAGTGGATTCGCGAACGTTTTGAGATGCAAATTCTCTAAAGTCGACTAGGCCCGGGGTAAAGTCAACGGCTACGTCGCCGACCTTTTCGAGGAAAGCTCGACGACCGGGCATGGTGAGGGCGTACTCTGCAAAGAGCCAGGCGAGTAGAGCCTGAGCATCCGAACCGACGACGCGGTTCTTGGCCAGTATCCGCGACCACGCGGCGTCTGCGTCCGCGTTTTTGACTTTGGCGAGCCAATACGCGTAGCACATCCAATCCGCATCGGGCCAATTTTCTTTGATCGCATTGTACAAATAGACGTAGGCGTCCATTTTATTATTTATTGAGCATGACGTACCCAGCGTAGGCGAGTGCCGTCAACGACACGCAGTACGGCGAACACAACATTAGGACGACCTTGGTGTCGCCGGCCTTCTTCTTTATCTCCTCGTCTTCGTAGTGAGAAAGAGGAGGTCATGTCTCGTCTTCCTCCTGATTCCTCGGCGCTTCGGAGTATATGTTTCGATTGTAATTTTCGTGCGCGTAGCGCATTCGTCTTTCGTACTCAGCGTCCGAGAGCACGACGAAAGAAGCCGATCGATTCAGATCCACCCTCAATGTGGCGTTTAAATTTAACAAATCAATCTTGTAACGCTCCACGTCTCGCTGATTCAACAGGCGAAGCGTGTCTCTATCGGCGACGGCCGGTGCCACGTCTATCTGCTCGGCGACCTCGCGCACAGTGTACTCGCTGATCTGGTGCCAGATACCGTCGAGGTGGCCACCGACCAACAAATCGTCTGCCCTGACGTCATTAGAAACGCAAGTCAACAAGACCTCTACCAGTGCCCACTGGACGTTCATCTTGCGTTTCCAAAAGGACATGACCACGCCCTGAACGTCGTAGGGAATCAAGCGCAACAACTTTTCGAACGCATTCTTTAAATAAAGTTTTGCCTTTGGCGTACAATGGACCCCCATTTTTCTCAGTCCGGCTTCGCGGACGTATTCGTATCGGTCCCTGGTGATCTTGTCCTGCACTGGAGCTGCGGGCACGCGGAGGAAATCGGTCAACTCGCCTTCGCGTGTAGATAACCTGAGCGTAAACCTAGTGTCGAGACTGAACCAGTGTGCGAGCGACGCTTTAAAGTCTTTGAAAGGTGGAAAGGTCAAAATGTACTCTACTAGCAGCCACGTCAGGTAGCGTCGTCGCGTCGCTGGTTCCATCTCGGTGGCGGATATTTCGCTCAAACGCGAGTACAGAGCTTCCAAAGAAACACCTTCGACAATCATTCGTACGTATTTTATTAAGACCATAGATACCATCGGCCTTTCTTGCACGGCACGTAGTTTTCGCAATGTCCAGAGAGTGGTGCAATAAACTCGTGCGTAAACTCGTGGTCCGTGTTGACGCACACTTGTCGAGAGAGTCTTCGCAGGTCTCTTCGGTACGCGAGAATGTCCTTCTCCAACTTGTCTCGCTGCACGTTGTCCGGGTCGAAAGACGCACTCAACTGGTCTCGAATGTTGCGCAGCATGTCGTTCCGGATCTCGCCTCGAATCCAGTCGAGATGCCCGTCAACGATGTCGTAGACACCGACGCCCACCTTTATGCAATAGAGAAGAATCTCGACGAGAATCCACTCGGTGGCCTTGGGCTTTCTCCAAAAGTGCAACACCAGCTCGCGCGTGTCTGCGTCCGACAGTCCGTGCAATCTTTCGTACAATTCCATGAGGTTCGAGACGATTGTCGGAGTAAAATATATGCCCAGCTTCTCCATGGCAATCTCCACTTCTCTAACGTAGGTGTCATATTCGTCCGAAGAGGGAGGTATCGGCGCAGTCATAAAGTTTTTCAACACTCCTGCGTCGAACTTGTCCCTTCCACCAGTCCACAGGTTGTATCTCGTTTGAAATTCTTCTACCGACGGTAGAGTATTGGCGTATTCAATCACGCACCATTCGAGTATAGTCTTGTCAGACAGTCCCCGCTTGTCCAGTGGAAGAGTAGCGACTCGTACTGGAGCCTGGTCGGCCGAAACGGGATCGCTGTTGACCGAAGCAGCTGGTGTAGGAGCAGTCTCGCACGTGCACGATTCGAGTATAGGCTTGTCGGACGGTCCCCGCTTGTCCGATGGAACAGTAGCGACTCGTGTTGGAGCCTGGTCGGTCGAAACGGGATCGCTGTTGACCGAAGCAGCTGGTGTAGGAGCAATAGTAGCGTCGCGAATCGTGCAATACCAGTAAGCGTAGCCCTGTCGGCTAGCCGTGTATCTGTGTTCGCGCAGATACGTGTGCAAACTGAGGATGTGCATTTTCATAGACGACCGTTCAAAAACGAGTTTAGCTCGAGCAAAGATTTCTTCGTGTCTTTGAAGGTGGACGACTCGTCTTCGCAGACCTGGACCCAATGCGGTAAATCGCTCCAAACGTCGGGTCTAAAATACCTACTGTCGAGCAATAGGACGGCCCCCCAGTCGTTCACGTGACGTACGCAGCGTCCCACGGACTGGTTAACCGCTCGCATCGCCTGCGTTTTATACCATTCGTCCCCGTCTCCGCCCCTGCTGCGGTTAAACTCGACCTTGACCTTTACGTCCGGACTGTGATACGACGGATAGGGTAACCCCACGGATACGACGAGTCGAGCCAGCGAATCGGAGAAGTCGACGCCTTCGCTCATTTTGCCTCTGTGCACGACTAGAAACAGGGCCACCGTGCCGGGCTCTCCGTCAATCAACGCAGTCTTGTACCTATCGAACAAGAGGTCCGAGTTTTCAGAATCTTCCAGAAACAGATGCCCGCCGACCACCTTGACCAACTTGGCCCATAGAGGCACTTTGCGCCACACGTCTCGACAGGTCTGAAGTAGCTTGTAAGAAGGGAAGAAGCACAGGACGCCAGCCTTTGTTTCGCCGACATTTTTCTTCAGGATCTTGGTCGACTCGTAGACGACGGAACCTACGGCCTTGAGTAGCTCTTCGTTCTGGCATGCGCTGTAATTCATGTAAAACTCTTTGTCACCCTTGAGCGAATGCGAGATCCTACGGACAAAGACGTGACGCTTGGACACGACGTGTTCCTTGGCGGACACCTTGTGAGTAAAGAAGACGCCCAATTCCTTTTCGTACGACGACATCGGACTGAGAGTCCCCGAGGCCAGGACGATAGAGTGCGTGCACGACGACACAGACTTCATGGCGTAACTCGAGTCCATGCAGGTCATCCTGAGTTCTGGCGACTCGCGACCCTGGACGACAAACATTGCAAAGCCTTGGGCACCAAATATCTCGGGGTAGTAAAACTGAGTGACGATGCGGTCAATCAACGTGGTGTTTAACCGGTCGGACAAAGGATGTCGAGACGTTAAGGGACTCACGACTTGACCCAGGCTCACGTTGTCCGTCTTGAGGTAGCGTCTCGTCTTGGCCAGGAGATCATCGCCGCGAACAATCGCATATCCAACGTCGTTCATCATGGCCAGGAGCCCCTCGAAGAATTCGCGAAGCTCGACGTAGCGAGAAAATCGTCGTGCGTACGTCTGAAGCTGCGATCTGGACACTTGTAGGGACATGGCGTCTCTACAAAACGTTTCAATGTTGTGCGCCTCGTCGAGGATCAGAATCGCGCCGCTGAGATTGATGTTGAGCGTGCTACGGACGAAGGGATCGATCAAGTAGTTGTAGGGAGCCAGCACTATTTTCGACCTGGCTACGTAGTACTGTTCGGTGACGTAGTTGGGGCAGATATCTTTTGCAGCACAACTCTCCACCAAGTCCTCGATGTCCCTAACGTCGGGCAAACGCGTCTCTGGTCCATGCTGCTCTTTCCAATTGCGGTAGAATCGGCACGTTGACGAGGCCCTGTGTTGACTGCAGAGTTGGGGCACGTTACCGCTGTGGACTTCCCGTTCCAAGAGGCAGACTCGGTCCTTGCCGACGAGACGAGAAATGTGCGCGGCGTCTCCGATGAACGCCTTGGCCACCGCTACCATTTGGTCGAGCTGTTGGTGCGTTCTAGAGCAGAGGTAGATTTTGCCGCTGGGTCGTGTCGTTATCCATTCGCGAACGGCTCCGAGCATGGCCATTGTCTTGCCCGATCCGGTAGGAGCTTCTATCATGACGTTGGCTTTTTCTCCGAATCCGCGCAACATTGTTTCAAAGACGTCCACTTGTACGGGGTAAGGTATCCGGTCGCCCGGTAGTACGAGCCGGTAGCGGGGCGCCTCTTCCATACCCGCCAACGTTCGTTTTTGAAACGATTATACCGATCGTTCGTCTCGTCTTCGGAACTATAAATAGTCTGAGCGGAGTGGTTGACCTCGTCGTCCGTAATCTCTCCCTCCTCTTTTTCATCATCGCCATCGTTCCATTCGTCTAACACTATCCATTCTTCTTCTTCTTCTTCTTCGACCTTGGTCATATCTACGTCGTTACTCATGCTTACGCGAGGAGATTGAGACGAAAACTCAACGTGCACGGTTTTTTTTTTATTTTTATTGCCCAAACAAAGGATACCTACACAACCAGTCAAGGTAATCGCAAACTCTAAAGTACCTCGGATCTACGCTCTCGTACAGGCTCATAAAATCTCGATGCACTCTGGCGTTTTTCACGGTGCGTGGCTCGACGACGCTGCAAACGACTCGATCGGGAGGCATGTCAAGCAGGTAACTCAACTTGCGAACGCAGGCCACAAAGAAGGTGAGAGAGTCGGTCAGAGTCAGACACAGAATCTTGCTGGCCTCTTCGTAGCGAAAGGCGGTCGCGTTCGCGTACACTCGACCGCTTTCGTACGTGTAGTCGCAGATCACCGAACCGAGGGCGCTTGCGTCGTCGCGGTAGAGGCGAAAGTCGATGTATCGACAGGCCGTCTTGAGGTACCAGACTTCCGTCCGAACCAGTCTCATGTAGACGTACAGGTTGAGTCTGTATCTGTTTTTCGTGCGGCTATGGAATCGATGCAGCGCTGCGCCTACCGTCATGAAGGGGCGGCCGACGAGAAGGATCGTCGCCGCGTGCATAGTCTCCAAGGCGTAGAGAAAGTCGACAAAGACGCTGGAGTCGCCGGGATTTCGAAGTCCGGTCGCGATGGTGTTTGCCAGGTTGTCGTAGTATACGCGTAACATGATTGTAACGTCGATTTCAAATAAAAAACTGAAGTTTCCCGCTTATATCGTTAGAGGAGATGGATGGTGAGAATATGGCGCGCATAAAAAACGCCTCAAACAACGTGACCCGGCAAAAGAGGACGGTAGCCAAGAATAAGAAGCAGCAGCAATTGGAGAGTCGACAGCCAACGACTGCCGTGGACGACGTTCTCTGTAAGAACGAATTGCGTCGATTGGCCAAGGAGATGGAGATCGATCGCATATCAGAGAACGTGTACGGTAACATGCAATTCGAGGTCGATAGATTCGTCACCGAGGTCGTCGGAAAGGCCGTCGTCTACGCCCAGATGCAACACCGCAAGACGCTTTTTGTAGATGACGTGACCCGAGCTCTTTCCGAATACAACATCAAAGTTTACGGCTGACGTCCAGGACTAATACAAAACACCTAACAATGTCTAATAAGAATAACGTTATACTCAAGAAGCCTCCTTCTCAGTTTGAAGAACGACTCGAAAAGTCGATGGACGACTATTTGCGAGTGCACATTAATGAATTGTACGATAGAGCCGGGGCGCACACGGGGTACAGGACCGACAGAGAGATAATGAAAGCCGCGTACGATTACATCGTGGCCAAGTATCGCAACGTTATACTTGGTCTATTTAACGACGTGACCCGAATGAACGACGTGATTAACGAATACACCGCGTTTCTTCTTCACTTTAAGAGGTCCGCCGAGCTCAAGGCCGAACACGAGAAGGTGGCCGTGCCAGCCTTAAAACACGTCATCGTCAGAATGTACAGAGATCAGAACAATCTACTCGGCAAGTTCCTGGCCACGGTGTACACGCGAGACAGACTTAAAGATGCCGGCGTCGAGGTGGTCATGAAGACCGAGGAAAAAAAGCTGTACGACGCCGACCTTCACGACGTAGACAGCCTGATCGAGACCTTTTACGACAACGGTCTGGACTATGTCGGCGTCGAGTCTTTAATTTCCAGCTACAACTCGAAGCTGAGGGGTGTCGGTACCAAGAGACGACTTTCGGACGACGCTAGACCGTCTCTTCGGGATAGCACGAACGAGTCGCCGTCGACTCCTCCTCCTCCTCCCCCTCCTCCTAAGGAAAGGACGCCCATGGAGAAGGAGTCGAGCGTCCCCGCAGGGGGCACCTGTGAAAGCAGGTGTTTGGAGAGTGGCGTCTCCACGGACCCCGAGCCATGCGGGTTCGCCCGCCCACGTATGGCTGTGCGTGGCTTTCCCGTGTCTGGGGAAAAGGGCATCCTGGTGGTTGAGCCGAGCCCGGGGTAGGTTTGGACCCTCCGGGGCCCCCCGGGCAAGGCAATACACCGCTTCGGCCCCCGCTTCTCATAGACGGGAGTCCTGGTAAGGCCCGGCCAGGATGATTCAGCCTAGTCGCCACTTCTACTATCCCCTCCCTTCTTTTACCTTTGTCTTCTCCTTCTTTTCACTCTTCTCATTTTCTCTTCTTTCCTTTTTTCATTTCCTTTGGCGGCAAGGGCTAACCTTGGGTGGCGACAGACTCCTTGTCCAGAACCACACTTGGGTATAGTACCTGGGCAGTGCTAGTAGCGTAACGTCTCCAGCAAAGCCCTGTTTGTTATGGTGCGTTACCTATTCCCGTGTTGGGCTCCGTGGTGGGCGGCACACCACAGGTTCTGAAGACTCTCCGCCTCTTATGGCTCCCCCCTCCTCCAAACCAAACACGGCGCGTGCCCCTAAAAGGGGTTGCTCCGTACTTACTTTCGAAAAAGCATCCGAACCGCCAAAGTTTCCAAGATTTTTTGTCATTCAAGCTCTAGATGAAGAAAAGCCACTGGCTAAGCTCTCGCTTTTTCTAGTTTCAAAATGTCTTGATGCCATTATTGGCAAAGCTTTCAAGGCGAAAAAGCTTTCTGGTAACCTTCTTGTCGAGGTTGAAACAGAAGTTCAAAGCAGGACGCTTCTAAAACAGACATGTCTAGGCGAACACCAGATAAAAGTAAGCCCACATCGGACACTGAATAGTGTTCGAGGTGTTATCTCTGAGCCTGATCTGATAGATTGCACTGAGGATGAAATTCTGGCTGGACTCCAGAAACAGGCAGTGGTGGCCGTCAAGCGGATCACCATCCGTAAAGACGGGCAGGAGCAGCCAACCAAGCATTTGATCCTGACTTTTGAACTGCATACGCTTCCTACGACTGTTAAAGCTGGTTACCTACACTGCAAAGTCCGGCCTTTTATCCCCAACCCACAAAGGTGTTTCCGGTGTCAGCGCTTCGGGCATGGCTCGCGAAACTGTCGGGGCCGTGAAACTTGTGCAAAGTGTGGCAGCAACGACCATGTTGCTGACATTTGTGAGAATACTCTCAACTGTGTTAACTGCCAAGGCAACCATGCTGCTTATGCTAGAACATGCCCACAGTGGAAGCGGGAAAACGAAATCCTAACCCTTAAAGCACAAAAGAATATTACCTACCAAGAGGCAAAACAACGGTATTCCTTTTTAGCAAAAGGAACGTTTGCGCAGGCGGTGCAAAGGGGACAAGCACCGCGAACAGAATCGAAGGCCACTCAGGTCTCTCCTGAGGTCCTGGCAGTGGCTCTTCAGTCCCCAACCCCCCAGCAGTGGCAGCAGCTTCCCCTGGTTTCTGGAGGAAGCGCACCAGCTGCCTCTCGACCACAGGACAGGCAGGGAGCCCCTCTAGCTGTCTCCACTCCAAGGTGTCCCCCCAGGGAGAAGGAGCGAGAGTCTCGCCCCAACTCACGGGAGGGGGCCTCGTCTAAGGAGCGGCATCACGCCGCTCCTTCAACAGCTGAGGGGCGGGGACGGATGGAGTTGGGCGACGTTCAGCCCAGCACCTCCACTGCTGCCCCTTTGAGTGAGGGCGGTCGTGGCCGGGGAGTCCGGCCCCGTACCTCGACTTTGCCCAAACCTACACAACAAGCCTCGTCTCAAGAGGTGGAGGCGAGGGACGAGGCCACCGAGCCTTCCGCTCTTTCGTCCGATCAGGACGATATGGAATGGGAGATTTCTAAAACAAAGAAAAAAACGAAAAAACCAGTAATACCTCCAAAGTAGTTTCCTCTGGGAACGTCATCCCAAGACCAGAGTAGTTGATTGTATTTTTATACTTGCATCTCTTTTACATAATAATGCCTCCACTTGTTCTACAATGGAACTGTCGAGGTCTTCTTGCAAACTTTGATGATATTACTGATATACTAGAGGAACACAGTCCCATTGCCCTCTGTTTGCAAGAGACTCACCTAAAAGAGAGTCACACAAATGTCCTCAGGCATTTCCAAGTGTTTCGGAAAGATCGGCAGCATTCAAGCCATCCATCTGGAGGTTCTGCTGTCGTTTTGCAACGCTCTGTACCATGTTTGGAAGTACCCTTAAACACTGAACTAGAGGCCGTTGCTACCCGTATACTGACTAACCGATTGATTACTATTTGTTCAGTATATATACCTCCAAACTACCAGCTTAAGTATGAGGAACTTGAATTACTTTGTGATCAGCTTCCTTCTCCTTTTGTGCTTGTGGGTGATTTTAATGCTCATAATCCTCTCTGGGGAAGTGGACGAAAAGATACACGAGGAGCACTTATTGAACGTTTTTTACTGTCATCAGGATTATGTTTGCTCAACTCGAAAGAATCTACACA